AAGAGTTCGGGATCAACAAAAGTGTTGTTTCTCGTGCTTGGAATGCCTTTAAAACTACTGGTACAGCTGTTCGGAAGGTTGGTGGTGGCCGTCCAAGGAAAACAACACCAAGAGATGACCGTTACATTGTCCTCCAGGCGAAAAGAAACCGTTTTCAGTCAGCGAGCGCCATATCTCAGCAACTGTGCGCCGCCACAAAGGTGGCTTATTTGCTAGACGTCCTGAACGCTGCATACCTTTAAAAGTTAACCATCGGCGGCACCGTTTAGAGTGGTGCAGAGAACACGAAACCTGGACACCTCATCAATGGAGTCGTTTTGTACTGCTAATGTTCAAGAGCTACTGGAAAGTGAAGATATCACACGAATGGATTTGTCAGCTTACTCTCCAGATCTAAATTCCATAGAGCATGTCTGGGATGCATTAGGGAGACGTCTTGCGACACGACAGTATCCTGCTGAAAGATGCGTTAAAGGAGGAATGGAGACGTTTACCCTAAGAACTCCTGGATATACTGGTGCTTAGCATGGAGAGACGNGACAGTATCCTCCTGGTAACACCCATCAGCTGAAAGATGCGTTAAAGGAGGAATGGAGACGTTTACCCCAAGAACTCCTGGATAATCTGGTGTTTAGCATGGAAAGACGATGCAATTACAGTAAGAGGGGGGCATATCCCATACTAGGGAACATCTGCCAGTTGTACTTACGCTTCTTCAGACAATCATGTGTAACGCCACTATATGTCAAATAAAGCTTTTTTTTTTGTTCCATACCCTACTTTGAGCTTTATATTCATTTTTGCGCCATTATTCTTTTATCATCGTTTAAGTACTAAATAATGTACATCATATTCAAATTTCATGTCAATCGGATGATTTCATGCATAGTTATGACAAAAAACGCACTTGTAGCTTAAGTTTTGCACACCAGTGTAAAAAGGCATATTTTCAGAAGTACGCTGATTTGAATTAGACCAATCTCGAGACGATCGGATTAATAGTTTAGAAATTATTAGGGTTTTATTTATATATTTTATATTATAACCATCGTTGAACAGCCGACCCAGTTTTTTTGGGTTCACGACTATTAATGTTTAACTCCGTAACCTTGTCATTTTGAACCCGATCCAGAAGACAAGGAAACTCCTGGATCAAGTATTGGACTAAATATTTGCCCTCATGGAGGACTTTTTGATGCAACTAACCCACATTTGCGTTACATGGAGAGGAAGACCCCGAAAACATCCCACGGTTAGCCTGACGGCAAGGGGACTCTAACTACTACTGAACATATTTTACGTGATATTTTACGTCAGCACTGTGGTTGGTGCAAGCTGGATGCGGAATTCGATTCGACCAGCCATTGCTGGGATTCGAACCCGATTCACCTCATTATACCAAAAAAAAATGTTGTTTAGTAAAATGAGTTAAGATTTTTAAGAGAAACTTAGTCATATGAAACAACGTTTGCAATCACTAAAATATACTAGAACGTTGAACCGGATCGTTCCACTGGTACACCCCTTGGTTCACAAAATCGAACTAAAAAAATTTCGAGTTAGTATAGTACTCTCTTATTTCCTGGAATACTGAACATTGGTAGTAAGAAAATGTTTTATTCCTTTTTTTGAAACTAGTTAACTGTTTGAAATTAAATTTATTTTTGGATACATTAAGTAACATGTGAATATGTATGTTTTAACAGTTTAGTTACCTATAGTTTACTTATTTATAGGCATAAGTAGAAATGCAGTGTTATGAGGAAAATTGACAGCCATATGTAAAATACGTGTTGTACCATCCGTCGATTGTTGTCAAACACCCTTTCACGAAGACCTTAAAATCCTTTTCAGGGCATCTGGTAGATAATTTTTTCGAAAATATTCAACGGATGGATTGACACAAAGAACATGATGGTGATGCACTGCCACTCAAAAACAATTTAGAATGGATCCTTGAAAAATTGTCTGTTCTCCAGCCTGATTTATTCTGTAACTACCTTCTCATGAGAGTTTCGAAAAATCACGTTATATCTGTTGATTTATTTTTATATATATATCTATGTTTAACCGCTTCTCTTATAAAAAAATCAACATATTTTTTATTTCGTCAATAAATACAAGGAACTAAAACGAAACGTAAGTTTTAAGTTGAAATTTTAATTCTTTTTTGTACAAAAAAACATTCAATTTACCATCAGTTTACTATCCCGAGTGATCAAGGGAAAAAAATTTAACTATGAGTCTTCGGAACGAACGAAGAACAACACAAAATGATACTTTCCGAACACCAGTGAAGTGATACGCCATTATTTTTTCTGTGTAGATTCAGCAACCATCTTATATAAAATAAGCACAAAACGCAGTCCCACAATCCAGCTACAAAACTTGGCAATCTTCCAATCACAGCAGCTTATTATTATTATTATTACAGTACAGAACCCGTTATCCGGAAATCAGAAAACCGGAAAACCAAAAAACCGAANTCTGTTGATTTATTTTTATATATATATATCAATGTTTAACCGTTTCTCTTATCAAAAAATCAACAAATTTTTTATTTCGTCAATAAATACAAGGAACTAAAACGAAACGTAAGTTTTAAGTTGAAATTTTAATTCTTTTTTGTACAAAAAAACATTTAATTTACCATTAGTTTACTATCCCGAGTGATCAAGGGAAAAAAAAATAAATAAATAAATGAAGTGGAATATTCTGCTAGCGTGGAATATTCAAATCCTTGTGGAATTTTCTAGTGTATTTACATATCACACACCGTATGCATTAAAGAAAAAATGGTGAAGAAAAGGATTTTATTTTTACTTGTTGGTGGATCCAATACTGAGTTGCCATAGGGTACGGTTTGATCGAGGAATCTGTACAAACGATGAATGCTCCGAGCAGAGTTCCATTCCGAATAGAGAACTCGCATAATCAGGCGTACACCACGAGCTGCTTTCTCGGGTAGAGAAATCTTCATCACCACCCATCTTCAACAACTCTTTGGTTTGGCTGAAAAAGAAAATACGATGGTTGCATTTTAATCGTATGGATCGCATTTTCATGTTTTTAAAATTTATTTTAAGTATCTTCTATTAATTTGAACCCAACTTCTTTCACCCTCGATGCAAGACGACTGGAACAATATTTTTTCCCCTTTTGCCTACTTATCAATATATATATATCCAAAAAATTTCTTCAAATTTAAAATCTTTAAAATAATCTGAATTTTTTTTTGTATACTTCCTTAGTCACACTTATTAATATCTCATACACAGCAGTGTAGTTTATTGACATTTGCTCGAGAAAAAAAATAAAATAGAAATTCACCAAATCTCGAATGCCAGTAAAATGACATATTAGCTTAGAAGTTTAAAAAACAGTCATTTTAAGTTAATAGTAAGTAACTGAACTTAAGCCCTTATGTTAAATGGACCATAAATTGCTTAAATTAATTCTTTTTATCCACTGAAGAAATAATCAAAAAAAAATTTTGCTGCTGATATGTACAGAATAAAATTGTATATAATAATCAATCATTAAATAAATAAATAACTTTTATTACACCCAAGCTTATTACAATCATTTTAAACTTGGTATTAGGTTAATATTTGCTTCCCCTCCTTACAGTTAAAAAAAGCGGTTAAAAAAAATTTCTGATAACACTTCAATGTCCTGGCATTCATAAGCCAGGAAAATGACAAATTCGCCATTTTATAACAAAAAACTTTACTTTAATTTAATATTTTGGCCTAAGACGTTTATATTCTGCAGAAAACAACAGGATTTCCTAAAATAACTCAGATAAATCTATGTAGTTCATTTTATTAATGATTTCAAGAAGCCAGGAAAATGACAACACAAAAACCAACTCACCTTGAAAAATTTTTTGAAATAGATTTTGAACCAGAAAATTGGTTCTTTATTCATGCAACAAGACATGTTCACATAGGAGGGTATCTAATCAATCTATCAACATAAGATATTGATTGCTGGCTCTATCTATTTCGGTTATAAACCACTAAATAAAAGTAGCCAGGAAAATGACAGATTTTCTTGGGACAAACAAATTATTGACAGAAAATATTTTTTAAAGGAAGTTTTTGTAAATAATACCCTCTGCGTATATTCTAGAAATGCTTACACCGGTTGAGATAAAAAAATTGGATATTGAAAAATGTATGGAAAGTTTTGAAGCTAGTTTGTATTGGAAACATTGTTTGGAACAAGCCAGAAACATGAAATTTTGAAGTTCAACTGAATTTTTTAACTATACAAAACAGTCAATGCTAGTGCAAAGTCATTTTAAAATGCTAACAGCAATGCTATTTATTAACTTTTTTTAAAAAAAAGTTCTTTCAGTATTATAGCATTAGATCTTGGAGCAAGGTAAATTAATAAAATAAAAGACATGTTTTCATCAGCTCACATGACTATGTTAGCAAAAAGGAGTGCTTTCTAATATTGTATCTATATAGCCAAAGCAAAATATATCAATACAATAGTGTGAGGAGCACTTACAAAAAATTATAATAAATGAAATAGAACGCATTAAGTAAAAATATCACGTTAAAACAGAAAATAAACAGTAAAGAAAAAACAGAATAAAACATAAAATGAAGACTATAAAGCGAATTCAAATGAACTTACATGAACGGGAAATGTTTCAAGAATGATTTGAAATATTTTCGTAACAAGATTGCCAAATTACAAAATATGAAAACAGAAGCGCAAATTGAGGTAAAAGCGTAAATAGAGTAGTTTTGTTTTATAGTGCGTTCTTAGTGCAGTACTGTGCTTTTGATTTGTTAGTTACCAAGGATGAGCCCAAAAATGGATGTGAGCACGATAATATTATACTGGATAATTCAAAGAAGTTGAAAATTAATAATTTTAGAAAATTGTTAATTTTAGAAAATTAATAATTTTAGAAAATTAATAATTTCAGAAAGTTAAATTTTATTTAAGAAAAAATAAAATAAAATGGAAAAGAGAAAGAAACATGAATTGCCTGTTTTGCATATAATTTTGGCCACAGATTCGCCCAAAATGGATTTGCGCATGGCAAAAATTATATAAATTAACAAAAAGGTTCTTTAGTAAATTTATGTACAATAATATACAATTAACTCAAAGAATTTATATAGAATTTAATTACTTTGCTTGGGTATCCATCATTTTTTATCAAATTTTGAAACAGTTTGTCTTTTGGATAAATAAACATTACTGCATATTCCTTTAATTCTATTCATTTTATTAAAAATGGGATTTAAATAGATGTTCTTAGAAACATTAGAATTCCAAGTAATTAGTTTATTTATATTAAAATTAAAATCATTTCTTTTATCGTATAAATCAACAACGCAGATATTTTCCTCTTTTATAAAACCCAAATTCAAAAAATTGAGATTAATATTGTCATCATGATTACGAAGCAAGATTAATTCCTCGGGGTAAATATTATTTTATAAAATAGTATAATCTTGAAAATTAAAGATAATCAAATGATCAATAAATCGTAAAACAAATTTAATACTAAGAGTATAATTTTTTTCATAATGCAAAAAGTTAGCTAAGAGAGATGAAAAATTAGATCCTTGTGGTATTCCATGAATTTGATGAAAAATATCCGTTATAAAGATAATTATTAAAGAGACAAAAATTAATTAGAATTTCCCAATAATCAAAGTCGCAATTATTGATATTTGTAAAATCATAGAAATAAATCAGAAGGACATCTTTTAGTTTAGAAAGGGAAATGCTATTGAAAAGATCTTGGAAATCAAAAGTCGCAATAGAATTAATTTTATTATGTTTTAATAATTTCTAAAATCGGTTGATTATTAGTTATATTCCAAGAAAAACCATCTTTAATAACATTGTTAAAAATTTTACTTAAATAGTTAGGTTTTGGCTTTTGTCCTTTTTGTATATTCAATTTATATAAATATTTTTATTTCGTGTTCTTTCTTCGTTCTAAAATGAAAGTTAGGCAGAAAAAAAATTTAAATTTCAAGATATTATAAATCATGATATTATTGAAATTTCAAGATTCATAGATATTTCTACAGAAATAGTGAAGAAACATGTGAACTTGTGAACTTACGAACTGAGAAGTATTGTTTTTGGTTCCAATGGCTTCTCTACTGTCAGTGTCATTTTGTTCTGGTCTAATTGGAGATTGGCCATGAAACGAATCGATGAGTAGATAGAGTGGTTCGTTTGAACTCCGATCCGGCTGAAACTATCCAGCACCATCCGGTTGACATATGTCAGGGCGAAGCTGAGAAATAATAAATATTCGATTAGAAAAAAGGTACTCTATAAACATGAAACGTAATTTATTCAAGCACATTTACTTTTGAAAAAGTTTTGTGAATAAGTTAGATGAAAGTTACAAGTTGGATAGAATATATATATATATTATTATTATTATTATTATTACTTTTTTGAAAAATAATTATACGTGAGCACATGCATAGATTAAAAATGTAAACAATTTCATAACTTAATTAAAGCTACTGCATACTAAACCAATAAATTTGCCGAAACATTTACATAATACATAATGTTCAAATTTCAAAACCAAAAATGAATAAAAGTAAAAAAATAATGAACTTTATCAAATATGAATTTGCTCACAAAAATTATTGCACACTAGAAGATGAAAAAACATAAATTTTTTACATCAACTTATAAAAGCTTCCTTTAGTATTAATAATTGAAATATGACTACCATCTGTTACTATTTGGAAGGAGCCGTGGTAGAGTCCAGTGGCTAGAGAATTTAACACCTTTGCGGAGGAGCCTGAGTTCGATCCTTAACTTTTCTAAAACCCACAGAGTACATACGATATACCTGCTCGTAAGATCTGCGGAATCTCTGTGATCGGTCTCTGAGCAGTACCATGAGTACAGGGATCTGGAGAAAATTTCCTTCCCCTTCAGATCTGTGTCTAAATTAAAGTGGCTTCACGAATGAGTAGTGATGCCATCTATCCATTGGGTTGTGAGCCAAGAGTTACTTTCACACTTGTAGTGCTCTCTTAACAAACGAAAGCCGCACATTCCTGACTTAATGCGCAAATGGCTGTTGAGCTTGACCTGTTCAAGTGTCATTAGAAACAACAACAACATTATTTTGAGAAAGGTGCTATCACAAAATTTATTTTTGCTAAAAATTTTTCTTGTGTTTTTCTAATAAGAGAATATTAGGAACAGGAATTATGAACGTAGTAAGCTGGTTTCCAAAAACAATTACGTGTAATATGTAAACATTTTAAACGGGACTTAATTTGAAAAAGAAAATACCTAAGACATGTTTCTGTTGATGAATTAGCCATAGAAAAAGCTAATTTATGCATTTACAAAGCATATTTTTCAAAGAACACACAGGACCTTTCAGATTTCAAATTTTTTAGGTGATGATGTTTCATTAATATTTTATAGTTAAATTTAGATATTATGTGATTAGATATTATTAAACATAAATTTAGATAGTACAGTGAATAACAAAAATCGCAAATAACACTCAAACAGTAAGTGGATAACATGAAAAATTATTTTAAAATATAATATTCATGCAGGTGTATATAACCCACAACATAAATTTTTGTTTTACGTCTAAATCATTGAAGCAACGAAAGGTAAAGAAAATACAAACAAGTTCATTTGGAAAGTGGTCAGAGATTTTCAAGAGTTAAAGTTTGAAGGAATTTAAAAATATATTGGCAATGATTCATCAATTTGAATAATGCATACTTGAAAAGTCTCCTGTTCTTTAACGAAGACTCCTGTATTTTACGACAACCTCCTGTTTACCTGTATATTCTCAAATTTCTCAGTATTTGTTGAAAATGAAAAGATTGGTGATAAACTATCCACTGATGGCAAAAATACTTCTCCTATTCCTCAACAGAGGGTGCCAGTACTGCAGTATGTTGAGTGTTAATAGTTTAAGTCGAGCCGTGGAATTAAGGAGAGCGTTTCGTCTTCCGGTGAGGTAAACTCAGGTTCAAATCCCAGCCATGATGCGTCGATACGAATTCCGCATCCGGCTCGCACCGACCACAATGCTGAAGTGAAATATATTCAGAGGTAGACGGATCATGGGTTAGAGTCCCCGTGTCGTCAGACTAACCGTGGTAGGTTTTCCTGTCCGCGTAACTTAAATGTGGTTACGCGGTGTGTGGGTTAGTTCCATAAAATAAGTCCTCCACGAAGGCACATTTCTCCCAATACTTGATGCAGGAGTTCCCTTGTCTTCTGGATTGGGTTCAAAATGACAAGGCTACGGAGTTGAACAGCAGTAGTCGTAAACCCAAAATTGGGACGGTTAGAAAAATCTCCGTCACTTTATTTCTCCAATGTTTGCAGATGTTTTGAACACTATAGTTCGCTGGGAAATCAGAATGTGACAATGGTTGTTAGAGAAAGAAAGAAGGAAACGACTTTTTAGCACCAAATGCTTCCACTTTCAAAAAAATAACAGCTTATATGGTTTGAGTTTGATTGTTGTACGTTTAAAATATACACTTTCAATGATGGATTACCTGGGCTGAAGAAGAATATCTGATCGACTGGTCAGTTTGAAGAAACTCTTGAGGGAGGTGCCCAGTACAGCGTGAGTTGTCCACCTGAGGGGCATTCCCATCAGGGTGGGTACTTGCTGGTGGAATTCTTGGAGGCGGACCATGCGGGTGGCATTCCAAAAAACACCTCGATGCACCAATTCCAGCAATTGATTCCTTTCAGGCAATTGGAACAAGAATTTCATAAAATCTTCAGATGTGATGTACACTAAAGAAGTACCTGTAAACGACGATTTTAAGGCAGTACTGCTAAATTTAGAAACCAACAAATATTTTAAACTGATAAAAAAAAAACTTTCTTAACACTAAACCTACCAGCACTTAATCTATACCTATTTCTACCTTAGCCGGTCAAATGTTTCTTGATTGAATGTATGGAATATGGATGTTAGGAAGGAAATAAATTTAAAAAAAAAACTTTATTGTAACTAAGCAAAGTTGTATATTGCCCGTTTTTATGCATTACAAACACAAAGAATAAGAATTTTTAATTCATTGCCCAACGCATTTTTTACAAATACTGGGTGGTTCCATTGTACATTTTTCGCAATTCTAATTATTATTAATTCTATAATTCATATTATTATTCTTATAATTATAAAAATATATAAAAGAATTATAATTCTTATAATTATTCCTACAATTAATATTATTTTTTCTAAGAACTTGTGCTGTCTGGAATGTTTCGACATTTTTCTGGGTAAAAACTAACAGTTAGTTAGAAATGAAGCGAAGTAAAGCTATCAAAATAAAATACTTACCAAAACATTTAGTTTTTGTCACTCTTTCTGACACAAAAATGCCAATCTAAAACTTTAGGTTCTTTCTTGAAATTTGAATTTATTGTTATTCTGATTGAACTCACTACGCAACAGTGTTTGCAGAAATGGGCAACTCATCAAATGCAATCCGTTGAACATGCATGACATCGACATTTCTGATCCGATAACCTTATAAAGCAATACATTGTTCTCCCGGTCAAATGACCGGTTGTGGTAGAATTAGGTATACGACAAGTATTATTCGAAACAAACAAAATACAAAAGAATATTTATAGAATGTTAGCTGTATATAATTGTCAGAAAAAGTCATGAAGTTAAATGTGCAAAAACGATAATTTGATAACCGCATTTTCGTTGCAAAAGTTCCTAAACAGTCATTTGATTGATTATATATGTTTAATCTTAAAGAAACTACCAAAGGAGTCACGATTTTATACCTTAATTAGATGGAAATGTTTACCGATAAATAATTCTATATTCCTAACAGAAATTTTAATAAATCGGTTAATTTTTCATTATTAAAATTTTTTTTGTAAGAATTGTATATTTTCTCCATTTGATGCCATTTTTATGAGCAATATTGTGACACAACTGATGTAAAAATAGTTCACTAAAAGATAGTGTGAGAAAAACAGCCTTCAATCGAAAGACTTAAAAAACTATTTTGTTAGTATCAAATGTGAAAAGACTTACCAAAAGCATCTAAGTAAATGTTGAAAAATGGTCTTAAATAAGGTTCGAGCATTCTATATTTTTCTACCAGTTGTTTGATGTTGAAAATCATGGATGCATCATCCAGTTTAAACTCCATAGAATCAGTTCTCATGAATCCAGCTATAATCTCCTCAAGTAATTCAGAAATTCTATCGCCGTCATCCATTTCATCCAGATATTTCAGTATGGTTATAGCAATGCCCTCCATGCCTGGTCAAACACACAAACAAAATGTCCAGTTCATCATAAAACTTCATTTTGAAAAAAAGCTTTCATTTTAAATAAAATCTCACATTGGTGTTAGAAGGTAAGAGAATTTGCAGACGATTATCTCTAGAACTACTGGACGAATTTATTGAAATTTGACATGTACACACATTGATACAATACGAAACAAATAACCAATCAAGAATTATAATAAACACGCATGACAGCGGTAGCAGCATGAATGAGTTAATGGGGGGTGGGGTCCCATCTTACAGGCCTTGCAGTGTGATTTCATACTTGAAATAAGGCGCAGTTTATCATTTCCTGTGGCCTGAATTCTCCTGTGGCAATTTCATACCTTGTTGTTTCAACGAATGTGATGCACGATCATGCATGTTTGTTACACATGTTGAATGGTTATTTCTTTTGTATTGTATCAATGTATATACATATCAAATGTCATTAAAATCGATCCAGTAGTTCTAAAGATAATCGTCTGCAAATTCACTTAATTTCTTACACCAGTATAGAATAACAATTACATGTTTCTTGATTAGTTTTATACCGGTTATAACTTAAGTTTATATAAATAACAGAGATCTTCCTCAGTGTTTTATAAATAGTTAACGATACGTATGAAATTGTTATTATCATACACTAGTTGAAAATTTGGAGTATGATAATTCCAATAATGGTGCAAACTAATTTTGTTTGACCTTGTTTAACCGCTACTTTGTTTAAACTACAAGTGGTTCACTTTAACAAGGTGGTACGATTATGACTCAATGGATTTCTCCAGCATAACGGTTCAACGCTGAGCTGAATAATGCAGTGAATCTTGGATTACATCTTTGGAAACAAGCATTAAAAAAATTGGAACTTACTACGAATTATATGAAAATATTTACCCCGACCTGCCCCAATTCAGGGCATACGGGTAAATGTTTATTAAAACCAAGTAAAAACAGAAAAGAACATAAAAAGCAGAAAGTGCAAAAAATACAAGAGTCATATGCCAACAGCTGGGAGGGCCGCCATATAGTGCTTAAAGCCGACGGCCCACCCTCATACTGAGCCAAATTACAACAGTATTGAAGACCCCAACAAAGTTACGGAGAATACAGTATGTGTTACAATACATAATTAGTAGTTACAAGATATAAACATCAAAATAAAACAAGACAATTAAAAATATGAATACAATAAAAAAAAATAAAGTAAAAAAAAAAATTTAAAAAACTTACTACGAATTATTATTAAATCTTATCAAACGTCATGTCATTTTTAAAGTCAGAAGTGGTGCCCAAATCGCATATTTTGGATGTTAATATTTAATGTCGTAATTAATTTAAATTAATTCTGTCCGAAAACTTTAGTTTTAGTGTTATGTGAAAAAGTCGGAAAACTCTAAGCAACGCAAACAAGAAGAAAAAAAATACTATCAAATCGTGTAAGATGTCAAGAAANGGATTCTACAAACAAACAAACATCAATGGATGGTAATACGTTTCTGTCTATACGTCAGAGCCCACATATATACTGATAAAATTTTATCTCATAGTTCGTCCCGCAGTGGACTGATCATAAAGACACGGTTCTCAGTAGAGCACCGAAGTCAAGCATCACTGGCTGCTGTCAGTAAGTGGGTATGTGACAACTTTGATCAGCCTGCGTAGGGAACGAGGGAGCGCGGTGTCGGTCCTCGTTAAACTGTTCGACCGGGAAGTGCTCGAGTTCACGCACAGGTCTTCAGGTTACCAAAAGAGGAGAGCCCTCTGCAGAAGATAAAAATTGCAATGTCATGTCTTCGGATTATCCTCGGGGATGTTTCCCTGACCGTCGCCAATAGCCCATAGCCACTCTAGTGTGACGTAAAGAAAATGCCTACATATATACCTCATCCTTTATTCATTATAGTTTTTCATAAATAGCCATGTTTCCATGCATTACTCATCGGGGGTGTTTTTATAGTCCAGAGCCCCTATTCATACTTACTAAAAAAACTTTATTACATTGGAAAATTAAAATAAAAACTTAAAATTTATTTCATAAAGGCTATAGAATATTGCTTTACTTAATACATTAGTTAATCCACTATAAAAGGCCATACATACAAACTATTCCATCTAGTGGTTTTAGGAATTGTTTGTCATAATTAGTTTGCACCTTTAAAAACAAATGGCAGCTAATATCATGATCAGAAATTAAATAAATTAATAAATGTTCTAAATGGCTTTAAATTTCTTTAAAAGAAAATTGAATGAATGATTAAGTAACTAATTAGATCTGTTTTAAAATTATCAGTTTCTTAAAAATTCTTTATATATGGAATTATTTCTGTAAAAGCTAAGAATCTGATTGGAAAATAAATTGGAAAAAACTTATTAGCTAAGTTGGAATGAAAATCGATGCTCTTTTCAAGTGAAAATCGAAGCTCTTTTCAAGTCATTTCTTTTGTCAAAAAATTTTAAGGAAATTTGCCTACATTCATCAGTTTTAAGAATTAAATCTGAAGGATTTCAAATATTGGTTTTGTTTAGAATTAATTCGCATGGATAAATTAGCTTAGCAAAAATTTCAAAACCATTAAAATTAATAAACAGAAGATCATCCAAAAATCTTAATAAAAGAAGCGATTTGTATTAAAATTAAGGTAACCAAATAACTTAACGAATAATCAATTCTTACATTACTAACATTAGTACTAAAATTTTTATCCAAAGGGGTGTCATTAATTTTTGAAAAGTCAGTACTTAAATGGAATATAAATGTTGTTCAGGTTAATATGAACGAGAAATGTCCAGATTAATTCATCAATTATATCATTAAAATTAAGCAGATCATCAAAAATATTATTAATTTGAATTGAGGGAGATGAGTTTTCAAAATCAAAACTGTTTAGAGAATAAATTTTATTTAAAATTGTTAGTGTACTTAAAAGTATGTAAATTTTAGTGTATGTGCTTTTTTTGATATTAGTTAATTTTACTGTACACTCATTTAAGAATATTTTTAAAGTAAATGCCAAATTTTTTTACGTTACTTCTGATGCCAATAAATGCGAATTTAGTTAAGGTTTTATAGAATTATTGATTAACAAAAAGGAAAGAAAATTTCTTAAAATTATTTAACTTAACTTTTAGTCTTTTAAAGATAGCTTTAATTTTATTAATAATAGTATCACTGTAGGTGTTCCAGTTTTTTGAAAGTAGTACTTCTGTTTAGTTCATCAAGAATAAGTTGTTTGTACAAGATTTTTCAAAGAATAGTAAGCTTATTCCTGGATTTAACAATAGTGATAATACAGATAGTGCTTAGAATTGCTTCAATTTCTTGTTTCTATTCAGAGTTGAAATAATTTATTCCTTCTTTTACATATCAATTTTAAATCTTCTTTCTTTCTTTATTTATAAATTCCTTCGTATGAAAATTACAAAATTACGTTTGTATGACAGTTTTAAAATAAACTCATCAAGAGTGATGTGAAATATATATATATATATATGGTTA